CTTCAATTGCAGTCTTGTCCTCAAGAATCTCGTAATTTTGCTCCCATTGATCAATCTCGTTTTTAAGCTTTTCATTTTCAGCCAGGGCAGAATCATAAGAAGCTTGCAGAGGAGCGAGTGAACTCTCTAAAAAGCTGAAGTTGTTAGAAGACTCACAAAGATCTTCTTGGGTCTGAGAAAGTGTTTGAACGAGTTCACCAGCATAAGCTTCTTTCTTACTTAGCAAAGCCTTCAGTTCTCTGATTTCTTCACTGGCTTTGGAAAGTTGCTCAGAGAAAGATGTTTCAAGGAGATTCTTGTCCTTATCAGCTTGATTTGAGGAAGCCTTCTCGATTGCTAACTCTGAAGTTAAAACCTTCAGTTGCTGCTCCAAGGTACACTTACTCTCTTCTAACACTTCCATGTCAATTTGAAGACCTTCATACTGTTCTCTCCAGTTGTCCGCTTCAACTTGATAATCATTCATTAATTGCTCCGTGTGGAAAATTCTCTTCATTATCTTGGTGCCAACTAGATTGATCTAAAAAAGAAAAAAAGTAAGAACCTTAAATAGAAGAAGGGTGAAGTAAAGTATGAAAAAGAATACCTTTAAAGATGATTGCACTATGTCATTCATCCAAGTCAAAAAGTTGTGACTCTCAAGCTTGAATTTCTCAACTGAACCAATCAGAGGCTTCAACCACACATCAGCCCGACCTGATTTTCTCAAAAGGTTGCCATCGGCAGGAACCTCGATGATAACTTGCCTCATAGCTTCACTTCCACTTGAGGAACCAACCTCAGTATGATGGACAGTTGCAGGAGGAACTGTGGAAGGAGTCAAAATAGCCCGGGGCGGAGCAGCAACAGCAGCAGTCACAACCGGTAAAGAAGATGTCACAGGAGCAGGCATGGAAAATAAGGCAAGGGGCACTTCATCAAAAACTGGACCTAAACTTTCACTATCAAACCCAGGAGCAAAAAGCTGATCAACAGAATCACGAGCAGCCGCGGGAGTGTCATCATCGAAAATAACCAAGGTGGCTTCAACAGGCTCGGTTAAAGGAATAGAACGAGGAGGAGATGCTTCATCATCTGAAATAATGCGTCTTCTAGCTCGTGGCCTTTTTATCAAAGAACCCCCATCTTGTTCTTCCTCTTCTTCAGAATCTTGATCAGCAGAAGCCTTCCTTTTGGATGAAGAACCCAAAATTATCTCTCGGGCTCTTTCCAAATAAACTCTGGAAGCTACGACGGCCTCAGCACTTATGCCTCGAATGGGAAATCCTGATAAAAAGAAGGATCAAAGTAAGTTTTAAGGAAAGAAGTGAATGGAAATACGAAGCATATAAAGGAAAAAGCACTTACCGTGAGTTTTCACTTTCCAACCAAACCGATGAGAAAGGTTTTTCCAAGATCTACCTTCCATCGGAGCAACACTTAACAACTTTCCTACCCAACCACGGAAATTGGGAATCTCATCAACAGTTCCCATGGTTGCTGAAAAAGAAGAAGAAGTTAAAATGACAACCATCAAAATTAAAAAAAAAAAGGCATAGAAAAGTTATGAAAAGAAAACTTACGTGCAAAATTCCACTTCTCAGGAAACGAAACATTCTCTTCACCCAATAAACCAACAGTGGGGGCAGCAACAAACCTGGCATACCAGCCACGGTCTTTATCGTCCTCTGGGCTGATCAGAACTCTCTTGCTTCTCGCTACTAAAGTAAAAATTCCATGACGGAAAAGTTTGAGAGAATAAAGATGGATTAGATGAAAGAAAGTAAAAGGAAAGCCAGCCATGTTGGCCAAATGCCTCAAACAAGCAACGACCCTTCACACGATGGGCCAATTTGTCCTAAGCAAACATAAAAAAAAAAACCAACAGAATTCAATGATAACTGGGTCAATAGGAGGCTTGAAATTCAATGTAAAAGGATATGTATATACGAAAGAAAACCCTGTCAAGTAAGAAGTGGTTCTTTGGTTTGCATTTGGAATAATAATGGGGAAATCATGACTCCAATGGCAATCTCTACGAACCACAGAAATCAAACCTTCAGTGATCTGAGTTGATAAATGTCAGCACGATCTAATGAAGACATAGAGGAAACTTGGTTTCTGATGGACTCTCTATCATTGTAAAAAGATAGTTCAGCAGGAACAATTTCATCAACCAATGGTTCATGAGGAAGTTCATTGGGTTCTTTATTTCTAGATGAAGACCTTTGGGAGAGAGAACCTCTAGTTCTAGAGGGTGGAGTTAAACTCGTAGAAGGAAGAGAAGGACCTCGAGAAGATGAAGAACCTAAACTGCGAAGTCTTCCTCCTCTCCTACTTCTAATAGGAACAAGAGGAAGATTGTCAACGATAGGGACTCTCCGAGGGTTAGGGTTTGAAGAAGACATAATAGTACGAGGAAGAAGAAAACTAGAGTTGAATATTCTGAACCTTTTATGAGAAAGACAAAGATAAAAACTTATATTTATACTCAGAAGCAACCGTCAAAGGAAAAGACGCAATGATAGAAACGTCATGATGAAAGCTGTCGTTTCGTAATTAATGAAGCCGTAAAAAAGCCCTAAAAAGCGCTGAAAAGTTGCAGAATCAACCGGGAGATGCCACGTGTCGTGAACATTAAATGGAAGTGACATATGAAGCATCAGCTCCAGAGAAGAAATAATGGCGGCAAATATTCCCGCTTTAATGAGATCCACTTCCCAAATATTCTATTGAAGAATAAATGGCAAGTGGGGGGACTATCTGTATTGGAAAAAATTGAGTTCGTGTATAGAATTAAATATGAGGTGATATATCATGACACGTACACTAGTAGAAAAGTGACTGATTGGCAAAGTAAAAAGGCACGAGCTTCAACAGGCACGGGCAGAGGAAAGATAAAAGCTCGTACCTATTGATATTCAGCAATTATATCAGAAGAATGAACTTAAATAGCAAAAGAGGTATTTAATAGGCATTAATTACGAAAAGCGTTATGGAATTTGTAATGAATCGGTTATGATTACCAAATTATAACGTTACATAATGCCATTAATTATCATAAAGACTCTATTATGATAAAGGAAAAACGTATTACTTCGAGATAGCTATAAAAGAGAAAGATTGAACATTTGTAAGGACACGAAATACTATTGCAATATACTGATTTATTTTGCTTTCTTCTGCTTATTGAAGTCAATTTCTTTTATTCATTATATATTTAATTATCAGTAACCCGAGTTCTTCTAAAATAAAGCTTTGACCAAAATCCTTATTTTTGGTTAAACATCCATCCCCACCCCACACTCCCACACCCCGACCCTAAATAAAAATATTATTAATACTACTTTCTTTTCATGTTGTAGATAAAAAAGAAATTGCATTTCAACAAATGAGTATTTTTTTCATTTCAACAAAAAAAGTACTACTTTCTTTTCCTAGAAAAAATATTTTCTTTCAATTCATAAAAAATATTATTTTCTTTTCTTGATACAAAAAAATATTTTTTTCATTTCAATAAAATGAGTTTTTTCTTCATGAAGTAGAAAAGTATATTTTTTATTTCAATAAAATGAGTACTTTATTTTCATGTTATAGAAAAAGTACTTTCTTTTTCAATCAAAAAAAGAGTTTTTTCTTTTTAGTTATGGAACACAAATTTTAACATTATTTTTACGTAAAAAAGTAAAGCAACACATTAGTTCATTTGGGTTTGTGAATTTTTAGAAAAAAATTTAAACTTTAGAAGAAAATAA